GATTAAATGCTTATTTTATACCACATGCAAAAATCAACTCAAAATGGCTTAAAGACTTAAAGACTAAACATAAGACCTGAAACTGTAATACTCCTAGAAGTGTGCATAGGGGAAGAGCTGCATTATATTGGCCTTGGCAAGCATTTCTTAGTTATGACATCAAAAGCACAGGCAACAAAAGCAAAAGTAGATAAGCCAAATTACATCAAATGAAAGAGTTTTGCATAACAAAGGAAACAACAGAGTGAAAGCAACCTACATAATGGGAGAAATGTTTAGAAAGCATACATCTGATAAGGTGTTAATGTCTAAAGTGAGTGTGTATATGTGTGTGTGTGCATGTGCATATATATAGAGAGAGAATGTGTGTGCATATATATATATAGATCTTCTACAACTCAATAGCAAAAAGAGCAAATAACCCAATTTAAAAATGGCCTGAGAACCTGAACAGACATTTGTATAAAGACATACAAATGGGCAACAGTATATAAAAGGGTGCTTGGTATTATTAAACATTAGGAAAATGCAAATCAAAATCACAGTGAGATAACACTTCACACCTGTTGGAATGGTCATTATCAAAAAAAAAAAAACAGAAAATAACAAATTTTAGTGAGGTGGTGAAGAAATTGTAATCCTATGCACTATAAAATATGCTTAAATATTGTATGGAGTCTCCCCAGAAAATTAAAAAAGGATTATCATATGATACAGCAATTCCACTTCTGAGTATTTATTTAAGAGTTAAAATCAGTATCTTTATAAGATATTTACACTTCCATGCTCATTGTGGCATTATTCACTCTAATCAAGATGTGCAGCCAAGTGCAGTGGCTCATACCTATAATCCCAGCTTTTGGGAGGCCAAGTCAGGAGGGACACTTGAGCCCAAGAGTTGGAGACCAGTTGGGCAGCAAGGCACAACCCCATCTCTAAAATAAATATTTATAAAGTTAGCCAGGTGTGGTTGGCATGTGCCAGTAGTCCCAGCTACGCAGGAGTCTGAAACAGGAGGATCCCCTGAGCCCAGGAGTTTGAGGCTGCAATGAGCGATGGTCATGCCACTGCACTTTAGCCTGCGTGACAGAGCAAGATCCTGTCTTAATAACAAAAAGAAGATGTAGAATCAACCTAAATGTCCATTTATGGATGAATGGATACAGAAAACATTATATATATATATATGTATATATATATATATACATATATATATATACATATATATATACACACACACACACAATGGGATATTATTCAGCCTTGTCTTAATAACTTTGTGTTGCTACAAAGGGAATACCTGAGGCTGGTTAATTTATAAAGAGATTCATTTGGATCAAAATTCTGCAGACTGTAGAAGAAGCATGGCACCACCATCTGCTTCTGGTGAGATTCTCTGGCTATTTCCAGTCATAGAGGAAGATGAAGGGGAGCTAGTATGGGGAAGGGTGAGCCTTCCTGGTAGTGGGCTGGGGGCAGTGAGTCAGTTCTCACTGTATTAGTTCCCACAAGAGCTGCCCCCATTAGGATCCACCTTCAAAATTGGGGATCAAATTTCAACATAAAATTTAAGAGGACAAATATCAAAGCTATAGCAAGGTTTAGAAAGGAAGGAAATCTTGCCACATACAACAGCATGGATGAACCTCAAGGACGTTATGCTAAGTAAAGCTAGTCACGGAAGGACAAATGCTACGTGACTCAATTATATGAGGTATACAAAATAGTCAATATTGCTGGACATGGTGGTACATGCCTGTAGTTCTGGCTCCTCAGGAGGCTGAGGTGTGTGGATCGCTTGAGGCCAAGAGTTTGAGGCTGTAGTCCCCTATAATTGCACCTGTGAATAGTCACTGTACTCCCGCCTGAGCAGCATAGCAAGACCTTATCTCTAAAGTAAGTAAATAAATAGTCAACCTCAGAAGCAGAGTAGAATGACATTTGCCATAGACTGGGGGTTGAGAGAAATGAGGAGTTGCATTCAATGAGTATAGTTTTAATTATGCAAGATGAGAAAGTCCTAGAGATCTGCTGTATGAAACTGTGCTTTTAGTTAACAATACTGTACTATATGCTTACAAACTTTTAAGAGATACATCTCATACTCTTTTTTACCACAATAAAGAAAAATGCAGATAAGGCATAAAATGTGGTAATTTTAAAAAAAAAAAAAAAACAAAAAAAGGAAACAAATAGAAAACAGTTACAAACATAGTAAAATTAATCTGACGATATAAACGACCACTTAAAATGTAAATATCCTCATACACCAACTAAAAAGACTATCAGGGTGGTTGAAAAAACAAGACTCAACTATATGTTATCTACAAAAAAACCATTTTAAACATGTTTTCACAGATAAACAGTAAAGGGTTAAGAAAATCACACTGCCACGTGTGTTCCTATGCAACAATTTTGCATGTTCTTCACATGTACCCCAAAACCTAAAATGCAATAAAATAAATAAATGGGGAAAAAAAATACACCATCAAAACACTAATCAGAAGATGAGGTAGCTATACTAATGACAAATGAAGCTGACTTCAAAACAAGGAAATTTTCCAGAGATAAGGACGGACATTACATAATAATAATGTGATAAATTCTGCAAAAAAGATATAACAACTTTTAATGTGTATGCATCTAACAAAAGCATCAAAAACAAGTGAGTGAGGCAAAAACTGACAGAACTTCAAGGAAAAATAAATAAATCCACGATTATAGCTGGAGTTGGCAGATATTAATAACAGCTTCCTCAATCGATAATTGACAGATCCAACAGGGAGAAATTCAATAATGATATACTTCAACCGGACACCATCAATCAACTGGATTTAATTGACATTTATTGATGGTTTCATTCAAAAGCAGCAGGTTATACATTTTTCTCAAGCTCACATGTAACATGCACCAAGGTCAACCACCTTCTGTTATAAAAAACACACATTTGAGCGGGCACAGTGGCTCAAGCCTGTAATCCCAGCACGTTGGGAGGCCGAGGTGGGCGGATCACGAGGTCAAGAAATCAAGACCATCTTGGCCAACATGGTGAAACCCCGTGTCTACTAAAAATACAAGAAAATTAGCTGGGCGTGGTAGCATGGGCCCATAGTCCCAGCTACCCAGGAAGCTGAGGCAGGAGAATTGCTTGAACCCGGGAGGCGGAGGTTGCAGTGAGCCGAGATCGCACCACTGCACTCCAGCCTGGTGCTTGGCGTCAGAGCAAGACTCTGTCTCAAAAAAAACCCCAAACCAAACCAAACCAAAACAAAAAAACTCCACATCTTTATCTTAACAAATTAAAAAAATAGAAATCATACAAAATATGCTCTCAGAGCACATTGGAATGAAGCTAGAAATCAGTAACACTCAAATGACTGGAAAATCTCAAAATATTTGGAGATTAAGCAACATACTTCTCAATAATATATGGGCCAAAGAAGTCTCAAGGTAAATTTTAAAATATTTTAAAGTAAAAGAAAATAAAAATACAACTTATCAGAATTTGTGGAATATAGCAAAAGCAGTACTCATAAGGAAATCTATAGCATTAAACGCATATGAAGAAAGAAGGAAGATAAAAATTTAATTATCTAAGTTACTACCTAATGTAACTAGAGAAAGAAGACCAATATAAGCCAGAAATCAATAAATAAACCAGACAATAGTGAAGTCATAATTAGGAAGGTGATGTAAATGAGCAACAACAACTAGAAAAGAAGTCAAAAGATAATGTCACAATTTAATAGAGACAGCTGTAAGAAGCATAGCATTTAGAAACATGAAGGAAAACAGAAGAAGTAGGCTAAAACATCAGAAGAAATAGGCTAAAAAATTAGATGTGATCCTCACAGGGAATATTTGGTGAGACAGGGGTGTGAAAAGAGAAGGATAGCAAATGGACTAGGATTTGAGGTCATAATCATGGAAGAATTTAGTCTTGTCTGTAACACTTCAATTTTTATGAGCCATTTGTAGTTGAGTATCACTTAAATCACTGACTATTTAGAAATGGGCAATATTTGAAAATATGATTAACTTGTTCTAAAAAATTAAGGTCAAACAGCAAAAAGGGACTGTATAGTTTTTCTTATGATGCCTACAGAGATTAAAATGTTGAATAAGACCCAATGTGGATAAAAGTGTAAAAAACAGGTTTATATACACCGTTTTCAAAACTTCTGAAAAAATCAATTTGCTATATTTTTCAAAATTTTAAGTAATTTTATTATTATACTTAAATATTAAGTATAATGAAATATAATATATAATATATATTATAATATGGAATATATATAATTATAATATATATAAACATAATATTAATTATATATATTATATATACAATTTTTATTAAATTATACTCCAAATTCCAAAAGCGTGTTTATTAAAATTCATAGAGAAATATAAAATTAACACATGGAATGAGTTTCTCTCAATGTGATAGCAAATAACTTTGTTTTTCATTACTGCCTTCAAAGTAAAGCCCTCTCATCCTCCCAGGATAATCTACTGAGGATGCACCCTTAACTTCCTGGTCATTTCAGTTATAAGAACAAATCATATTTCATTAATTACAACTCATTTTCCTGCCTTACAAAGTCCAGACTAATCCAATTTTATCCTTTATTCCCTCATGTAACAAAACTATCCCCAGCCTCATCCAACCTAGGCTCACAGCTGGGCTTGGAGAACTACAAGATAATAGGTCACTGTCAGCATAATCAGCTCTCTCTCTCTCTCTCTCTCTCTCTCTCTCTCTCTCTCTCACACACACACACACACACACACACACACACACACACACACACACACAACCTTTCCTTCCTTCCCTTGGTTTTTCACTCCACCTTCCCTACTTGTAAATCTACCAAACTCAGTGCAACAGAAATGGAGATTAGAGGAAAAGAATCATTTCATAGTTTCCCTACATGGCTGCTGTACTCTCTGACTGCTCTCTTGATTCTTCCCTTAGCCTCAGCACCCAGTGACCTACCCACCTCACAGTTCCTCTCTCCTAGGATCTCTTCTCTGGAGAAGGCAGCAACCTGGAGCAGTGTCTCATTAGGACAGCTCAAATCTAACTACTTCCCCTTGCCCTATCGGCTCTATAAAATTGTAGGAAAGTGACTTCCCTTTCTGCTTCTCTCTCTCTCTCCCTTTCTGTGCGTGTGTGCGTGTGCGTGTGCGTGTGCGTGTGTGTGTGTGTGTGTGTGTGTGTGTGTCTGCAGCCTCCTAAGCAGCCCCAGTGTTCTCTTCCACCCGCCACTTCCAGGACTTCCGAAGAAACTGTTGTTGACATATTCTTCCTATAGCTCGTGGTGGCAGACACAAAGAATGCATTTCAAGCTCTTCCAAGAACTTTTGCAGTGCTCCATCCCTGCATCCTCAGAAATGGCCCTGAGTCTCAGCAGCTCAAAAAGACTCCAACTGGATAGTAGGAAGCCATTGCTTCCTTGCAAGAACCTTCCCAAATTTCTCTAAATGATTTTCTTGGTATCTCCTCCTATCTATCCTGGAATAATGGCAACATCTGCATAGGGAAGAAAAGAAAAAAGACCAAAGCATTCATTACTTCTATAAATTCCCTTTCTTCAGTAAATTATCTTAAATTTCTGGTTTTCTGTTTATATAGATTGGATGGTAAGGGTGGTAAGTGAGGGGATGTCCACACATTAATTTAGCCACTTCTTAGCAAGCCCTTTGATTTTCTGTCTCTCTTGAAAATGTCCAGGTACTTTATAATCTATTATTCTCATCTTCCAGGCCTCAGTCAAAATATCACAAAAACAGGAAATTCCCATTGAACCTTCAATTAACCATATTTTTATAGTTATTAAGATAATATATTTAATTTTTTCATATGCATGCTGATACTCGGACATTTATCTCATTTAGGCAGCAGCTAGTGAGTTCTATGTCTCCAGGAGAGGATAATGCAGAAAAATATACAAGATTTTTTTAAAAAAATCAATGTTTTGGCTTTTGGCGTTCAACAACAAATGCCCATGTATAAGGCAAAAAACTGGGGAGAAGAAATGACCGGATAGAGCCATGCTGATGATCCAAGACACAAACAAAAAGTGAAAGGCAGGAGCCTGTGTAGAAAGATGATAGTGGTGCAGATGAGCTGACCCCCCATCTCCTTGATGCTATTTGATCTCCCAGAATAGGGGTAATCAGAATAATGGGAGTTCCATGAAAATTTAAATTCATGTATAAAAATTAAAGTTATATAATTGCACAACCAGAGGCTCTTATTTGAAATTGGGGGCCAGGCATGGTTGGTCACTCCTGTAAACCCAACACTTTGGGAGGCCTCGGGGAGGAATGCTTAAGCCTAGGAGTTAGAGACCAGCCTGGGAAACCTAGTGAGACTTCATCTCTACAAAAAATGAAAAATTAGCTGGGCATGGTAGCATGCATCTGTAGTCCCAGCTACTCAGGAAGCTGAAGCAGGACGATCTCAAGCCCAAGAGGTAGAAACTAAAATGAGCCATGATCTTGCCACTGTACTCCACCCTTGGTAACAGAGTGAGACTCTGTCTCAAAGAAAGAAAGAAGGAAGGAAAGAAAAAAGGAAGAAAGAAAGAGAAAGAAAGAAAGGAAGAAGGGAAGAAGGAAAGAAAGAAAAGAAAGAAGGAAGGAAGGAAGAAGAAAGAAAGAAAGAGAAAAAGAAGAAAGAAAGAAAAAGAAAGAAAGAAAGAAAGAAAGAAAGAAAGAAAGAAAGAAAGAAAGAAAAAAAGAAAGAAGGAAAGAGAAAAAAGAAAAAAAGAAGAAAGAAAGAAAGAGAAAGAAAGCACACACACACACACACACAATTTGGGGGCCTTGATACGGTTTGGCTATGTGTCCCCACTCATATCTCATGTTGAACTACAATTCCCAGTGTTAGAGGAGGGGCCTGGTAGGAGGTGGTTGAATCATGAGAGCAGACTTTCCCCTTGTTGTGGCAGAATTCTCATAAGACCTGGTTGTTTGAAAGTCTGTAGCACCTCCCCCTTTGCTCGCTCTCTCTCCTGTCAGCCATGTGAAGACATGCCTGATTCCCCTTCACCTTCACCATGATTGTAAGTTTCCTGAGGCCTCCCCAGAAGCAGAAGCCTCCCCAGAAGCATAGCACACAGAACTGTGAGCCAATTAAACCTCCTTTCTTTATCAGTTACCCAGTCTCCATCTCAGGTATGTCTTTATAGCAGTGTGAAAATAGACTAATACAAATATAGCATGTATCTATTTAATATAAATAAAAAAATTATATAAATATATCATATGTATAAATACATCAAGGCTAAGAAAAAATAAATATATACATATATAATGTTTGGAAGAAAGCACAAAAAACCATTAATGGTGTTTATGTTTAGGGATTAGAACAAAAGGGAAGTAGCAGGAAACATGCACTATAGATTATTTTTTGAAAATGTAGTTAACAATTAACAGAAACATACTAAAAAATACATGCTAGAAAAACTACTCAATGTAATTTTTTCTAGGTTCTAGGAGAACAACAAAATAAAAAGAAAGGAGATTCAGTAGAAAAGAAGAGCAACGAAGGAGCCAAGAAACAGACAAGGATCTCTAGAAAGAGACTCAGCAAAGAAAGAAATAGAAACATTAATTTCATGTATGAGTAGCATGAGGTCAAGGGCTTCAAATACTGTGTCTGTAGCTTCCATCCTTTTAGAAAAAACTGGAAAACTAATGTACACCTAAGAGGAGACAAGCACATTAGTGAAGAAAATGGGAGCCATACTGGCTAAAGAATCATGGCAAGTTCATGTTCAAATGAGATCAGAAGGCTTATAAAAACTATAGCCACCTGCAAATAAGTGAAAGTCTATCAGATGGCAGAAAATTATACTAAAGCTTTGCCTCTGTAGCAAAGAATTAAAACTGAAGAATAATTTAAAAGAAGTAAATTACTTTTGCCAGAAAATTTTCTACAAATTAGATACATTAATTTAAAACCAATTCTCTACACCTTTCAGAAGAGTTGGAAGTGCTGTGAATTATTAATCCTTTGGCTTTGTTTTGGACTTGATACCAAAGTAGCTGCATGCAGAAGTAAAATTGTTAAATATGTCACATAAAAAGTGAGGGTGAGTTCAGCATGAAGGAAGAGCCTCGTCCATTGGTGAGGTACAATTGTTCTTATGTTTAATAAGAGAAAAAGTCATAGCTGTAAAAACATCTAGATGACCAGGGTTGCCTGACTTTAGGGACCCAAGAAAAAAAAATTTTCTGCAGATAGAATTCATGTATAAAATTTACACATGAATTTATTCTGCAGATAAGAAAAAGTGTAGACACAAAGGCACTCCCTTCCTGCGTTCTTTTTTCTTCTTACTACCACTGTCTACCACTAAGCAACAGTAAGACTTAACTCTGAATATCATCCTTAAACATTTATGTGTCAGCACAAGTTGCATCACATTAGATGTCTGATGGCTAAGAAGTGTTCAGAATAGCTTAGTATGAGAATCAAATGTCAGCATTATTTTAGAATGGCAAAATAATAGACCAAAAATATTCTATGTCCCAGTTCTCTTCCAAACATTAATCACAAGAAAATGAGCCCTTCTAATTATCTTTAATTCAGGAAGGAATTCACAAATGACAGCTTGTTATTTGCAGGTTAGAATCAAGACAGCATGTACTATTTAACAATCTTGAAGCTGGATAATTAAACTGAAGGAAAAAAGAGAGACTAGATAGAAATCAAATGGGTAGTTGTTTCCTTAGCAGGTATTTGCAGGAACACTCAATAACTTAATTGCAAAGGTTCTTTTTAAACAAGAAAGGCTCCTCACATCTATCTGTTGTGGTATTAAATAGTCATTCAGAGTCTAGGTTAAGTGTTTTCTCTTGGAATCAGAGACAGCATCGAGAGTTCTCTAATAAGAATCCTAAGAATAAGTAGTTATGACTATTGTTATATAGCTCTGTGCAATTATATATGCTTTCTCGTATATTAACTTGTTTAATCATCGCCACATCACCCTCCTTCCTGAATTTCTTCTCTATATTAGAGGTGAATAAACTGAAAACTGGAAAGATCAGTGTCTTAGCCAGAGTCAAGTGGTTAATTCAGAGTTTAATACAGAGTTTAATACCTCAAACCCATAACATTCACCTTTGAACAGTGCCTCCCTCTCTGAAATACTGGTTCTGTCATTAATTATTAATGACTCTTTAATTTCTCTTGATTTTCATTTTCTCCTATGCAAAATGTTGTTGCTGAGTTGGATTCCAAGTTCTCTTTCTGATCTAATATTCCGTCATTCCTCTATTAGAAAGGTAACGTGAAACCAGAAATAAAGTATATAATTGTAATGCCAAATTATTCAACCCTTTAAAATAAAGAATCAACAAATAAATCATTAGCTCAATATTTACTGAGAGCCAACTCTCCATCAGAGTGATGCTTGTAATTGACACGGAGGGCAAAATGATTTTAAAAAGTAAGATTCCCACCTTCGTGGAACTCAGAGACTAATGGGGGAAATGGCAAGTCAAGAAAAAGTTTTAATATTGTATGTTAAGTCAAGAAACTGGACATGAAAGAAGGGGCATGTAATAGACACCAGCAAGTCAGAAAAGGCTCTCTGTCAAGGGAAATGCACTTTGAAGGACAAGAATTTAACCAAGTAAATAAACAGGAAAGAGAAAGATGTTTCATGCAGAGAGCTGCAGATAAACATATGAGAACAAGCATAGTCTAAAAGTTAATTTGCATACTGTAACCATTCAACTCTCAAAATGTACCATTATATGCCATCTAAACCACAGGACCTCATGTAGCAGAAGTGATCCTAAATAAATCTGCTCTACAGTTAAGCAAAAATGATTTTCGTAGATGTTAAGCAACATGACTAAGCCATCCCCTTGTGTCTGATTCCAAAGTACAAATCCTGTGCTCTTTTCCTTTAATCATCACCGTCTCTTTGTACATTTCTTTCTTGAAGCTCAGCTGAACATAAATAATCCTGGGGCAGAACACTGGACAACTGAAGCAATACTGAATAATTCAAAAGAATATATGTGTATGTAAACTCAGTTGAAAAACCAGATATGAACCTGCTCTAAACCCATTTCAAAAGCCCTCCTTTAA